TGTGTGTGAGCTGCGGGCCCCTGGTGTGTGTGTGTGTGTGTGAGCTGCGGGCCCCTGGTGTGTGTGTGAGCTGCGGGCCCCTGGTGTGTGTGTGTGTGTGTGTGTGTGTGAACTGCGGGCCCCTGGTGTGTGGCACCCGGTGCTGCTCTGACGGCCCGTTCCTGGTTCACCCACAGCCACAGCATCTTCTCCATCCGTCTGCTCCACGTGCCCCCGGATCACGGCCAAGGACGGGCCCCTCAGATCAGCGAGTGAGTATCTGGACGCGTCCATGTCCCGTGGCGGGGGGGGGGGGGGTCGTCCGTAGCACTTCATCCTGACCCCACCCCCGTGCCTAGGCTGTGCGTGTGCGACCTGGCCGGGTCGGAACGCTGCAAGGAGCAGCGTGACGGCGAGCGGCTGAAGGAGGCGGGCAGCATCAACACGTCTCTGCACACGCTGGGTCGCTGCATCGCAGCCCTGCGCTACAACCAGGCCTGCCGGTGAGTCCGTCTGCGCCTGCGTCTGCGCCTGCGTCTGCGCCTGCGTCCACAATGGGGACCGAACCATTACTCATTTATTTCCTGTATGACCTGTATAACCCTAAAGTTATAGAAAGGACTTCATTGTTCTTGAATTTCACTTATTTGCCCAAACACTATTTAGTATTATTATTATAATAATAATTATTATTCCTACGGTGTGTTGGCAGCTGCCCAGGGTTGGTTCCCGCCTGCTCCCATTGTTCCCAGGGATGGGCCCCGGTCCCCCCCGCAACCCCAGTTAGGATTAAGCGGTTTCAGAAAATGCATTGGTGGATGGATTATTATTATTATTATTATTAATATAATCTCACCCGGGGGTCTCGATTGCCCTGTGCTGCTTCAGATTGGCTTCATTTTCACACCATGAACTTATACTGTGGTGGAAAATAATGTTTAACCAGTTTAGGAAATTAATGCAGATATTTTATTGTGGGGGGGTTTCTGGATGGGGGAGTAATCGGCAAAAGCCACCCATCATCCTCGCCAGGGGTCACACGGGGTCTGGATCCCAGGCAGCACAGGGCAGAAAGGCTGGGATGCCAGTCCATCACTGGGCATATTTATTCACTAGAGGCACTGGGAAGGACATGCAAACTCCACACACACAGAGCAGGGGTGGGATTCAAAGCAACAACCTTTGGGTCATGAGGTTACATTTCTGCTCTCTAAACCACACCTGCTTCCCACAGGTCACGGCCCCCCCTGCTGGTGCCCTTCAGGGACAGCAAGCTAACCCGCGTCTTGCAGGGATTCTTCTGCGGCCGCGGTCGCTCCTGCATGGTGGTCAACATCAACCCCTGCGCTTCCAGCTACGACGAGACGCTACACGCCCTCAAGTTCTCCGCCTTGGCCACAGAGGTTAGGAGGAGCCAATGGCGGGATGTGGGTGGGGCTGTGGGCGGGGCAATGGCAGGTGGGCGGGGCCTGAGCCGCGTGTGCGTGTCCCCTCAGCTTGTCCACGTGCCGTCCACCAAGACACGAGTGGCCTACATCCTGTCCCTGCTGCAAGAGTCTGACCGCCAGGCCAGCGTGGGCGCCGTGGCTGAGGAGGAAGAGGAAGACTGCGAGGAAGACGAGGCAGACCTCACCATGTTCGACTGCGAGGTACAGACTGCCCTGCCGTCCCCAAAACCCCCAATCGCCCGCAGCGCCGGCGTTTACCACTGCTCAAACCGCACACTTTTGTGGGGCCCTCTGTTGGCCACAAATAGTCATTACACTATAAAATTTACACGTTCCATATTTAAGAGATTGTTGAAGCAACATGCTCTGCTAACCAGCTAGTTAGCTACAATCTTCTGGATTTACTAACTAGCTATTTTAGTTTTTAACGTGCCTGGGAGGGGGGTTGGGCATCAAGGTTTTCTTTTTCTTTTTTCTTTTTTTGTTCTCTCCTCATCTCCTGTGATGTCACCTGGTTCTCTTTCTTTCTTTCTTTCTCCTCCCTTTTCTCTGTTTTTGTATTACTCTCTCTTAATGATGTTGTAATGCACCATAACACACCCATGTAAAGCGCTCTGGGCCACTATGTAAAAATAAATTGAATTGAAACGACAAACCCGCTCTTGCTCTTTCATCACCGTCACCATGGGTACCCCCCCCGCCCCCCCAGACCCTGCTGCGTGCCATAGAGGTGCTGAAGGCAGAGGTGCACCGCCAGCGGAGGGAGAAGGAGGAGCTGGAGGCCAGGGTGCGGGAGCAGGTCTGCTCCGAGATGATGGAGGTCATCCGCCGCATGCAGGACGACTTCGGGTACGTCGGGAAGCCTGGCCGCTCGCGGGGAACCGGACACCCCCCCCCTGCCACTGAGCATTACCACATCTCCCCCGCAGCGAGACACTGGAGACTGAGAGGACGCTGCTGGAGGAGAAGCATGAGGAGAAGGTCTCCAACCTGCAGACGAGCCTCAGGAAGTTCTATGTGCAGGAGATGGAGGTGAGAGGGCAGGGCGGGAGGAAGGTGACGATGACATTCTGCCGGGGATCAGGGTGCCGCTGCAGCAGTTTGCTTAATGGAAGACAGTTTTAACATCGTCCCTGATAAACTGAGAAGAAAGAGCTCCCTAAGGGAACTGTAGCTGTACCAGTGTTGTGCCACTAGGTGGCAGCCACGCCCCGTTTGTCAGTTTACCGCTCTGCACACAGAGCCATTGAATCGGGAGGCCGGGGCCTTGTTTGTATACAGCAGAGCATAACAGACTCGGTGTTATTCTTAGAATAAAGTCCCCGGCTTTGATTCTTAATCCGCGGCAGGGAGCCGGTGCTCTGTGTGCGGCGATGACAAAGGCCTCAGGACGCCGGTCTGAAGGCTGCAGCTCCCTGAGGGCCCCGCTGTGGCATCCTTCAGATGTTGTTTTGTGCACAAGTTTCCGCTGAATGGCAGAAAATGTGGAGGTTCTATTTCACAACAGGGTGGTCGGGTTCCTCTGATCAGGGCCGTGTTTGTGCTCCGATCCGGCCTGCTGAGAGGCCTATTGCCCCCGGGGGTATTTTAAAAGCCTGCTTATGTCTGTTTCCATCTCTGTGGGTGTCTCGGTGGTGACGGAGCAGGGGTTAGGATGAGGGTGGACGCTCTGTGCCTCACAAACACGCCCCCCCCCCCTGTCCTGTAGGAGCGGGACGAGCAGATCCGGGAGCTGACTGCTGAGCTGCAGGGCAGGAGGGAGACCGAGGCTCTTCCTGGGGCCCCGGACCCCCAGGGGCCCCGCCGCTCCCTCCGCTTGGCCTCCTCCGGGGTACGGGAGCCGGGCGGAGAGCAGTGCCAGACGGTGCTGCAGGAGGAACCAGAGGGTGGGTTGCTCATTACATGAGACACATTTCTATTATATTTTGCTTAATATATGATTTATAGCAGTAATAAGCTACATTCCCTGATTCTCATCTATGTTTTAATCCTTTCACATATGCAGTGATGCAACAGCATGAGCTTTTAAGCTTTCCGGGACATTCTCCAGGTGTCTGGGAGCAAGCCTGCACATAACTGGCATGTTACTGACTGTTTATCTTTGCCCCTCCAACCCCAAAGAGCTGAAGACATGCAGCGCGATGCTGACCCCACTCCCGCCCAGCAGTGTCCTCACCGTGATCGCCGTAGACCGCAAGCTGGAGGACGGGCAGAAGGTTGGTGCCTCGCAGTCTCTCCCGCGCGCGTCTGCACCGGTGCCTCGCAGTCTCTCCCGCGCGCGTCTGCACCGGTGCCTCGCAGTCTCTCCCGCGCGCGTCTGC